TGTGTACGTATTCATATAACCTTTGACAAGGGTGCCAGGACCACTCAAGGGGGAAAGGATATTCTCTTCAACAAATGGTATTGGGAAAACAGGGTATCCACATGTAAAAGAAAGAAGTTGGACCCTTATATACAAAAAATAACTTAAAATGGATTAAAAACGTAAGACCTATAACTATAAAACTGCTAGGAAAAAACATAGTGGAAAAGCTTCATGTCACTGGATTTGGCAATGATTTTGTGGTTATGACACCAAAAACACAGGCAGCAGAAGCAAAAATAGACAAGTGGGACTATATCAAGCCTAAATACCTTTGTGCGTCAAAGGACATAATCAACAGGGAAAAGGCAGTTTATGGAATGGGAGAGAATATTTGCAAATCATGTATCTGATAAGGTGTTAATATCCAGCATTATAAAGAACTCCTACAACTCCACAAAATATCAAATAACCCAATTTAAAAATGGGCAAAAGACTTAAGTAGACATTTCTTCAAAGCATGACATATACAAATGGCCAATAAGCATATGAAAGATGTTCAGCATCACTAATCAGAGAAATATAAATCCAAACCACAGTGAGATACCACCTCACATATGTTAGGGTGGCTACTATTGCGAAACTAAAGAATAACAAATGTTAGTGGGGGCAGAGAAATTGGAACCCATGTGCACAGTTAGTGGGATTGTAAAATGGTGCAGTCACTATGGAAAATGATGTGGAGGTTCCTCCAAAAATTGAAAACGAAACTACCATATGATCCTACTACTACTTCTGAGTGTGTATCCAAAAGAATCTAAAGCAGGATTTTGAAGAGATATTTGCACACCCATGTTCATAGCAGCATTATTCCTAATAGCCAAGAGGTAGAACCAACCCAAATATCCATTGATGGATGATGGCTAAGCAAAATGTGTTATATGCATAAAATGAATTATTATTCATCCTTAAAAGGAAAGAAATCCTGTTACGTGCTACACCATAGATGAACCTTGAGGATATTATGCCAAGTGAAATAAGCCGGTCACAAAAAGACATACTATATGATTCTACTTGTGCGAGGTATCTAAAGTAGTCAAGTTCATAGAAGCAGAAAGTAGGATGGTGCTTTTAAGGGGCTGGTGCGGGCGGGGGGGAGTAGAAAGGGGAATTGTTTAATGAGTGTAGTTTCAGATTTGCAAGTTGATAAAGTTTTGAAGATCTGTTTTACAACAGTATGCATATACTTAACACTACTGACTGGTACACTTAAAATTGGTTAAGGTGGTACGTTTTATGTTCTGTTCTTTTACAGTGATTAAAAAAATGAGAGAGGGGTGAAGAATTGGGACCAATAACTCTATCTTCCACAGATACTAAAGTTATGATTCCTTTTATCAAGGAATTTACAATTGGCAGGGAGTTAAACTAGTAAATAATAGTAATTCTATGATAAATATTATTATAAGCATAGAATATTATGGGAGCACAGAAATCATGCTTAAAGGAGTCTTAAGGAATGATTAAGAAATGGAGAGAAATTTGTGGTAAACAAAGGGGTAGTTCTTGGTGGATTAAGTGTCTAGAGAGTTTGGCAAGGATCAGATTGTGAAGGGTCTAAAGTGCTAAGGTTTTAGGGGTTTTTTGACTTAGTCCTGAAGGCATTGGGGAGCTATTGATTTTGAGCCTCCCAGTTACATGATTAGAATTCATTTTTAGATAGCTGACAGTGGTATAAAGAAAGATAAATTAGAGATTTTAACAGCTACTCAGACCTTAAAAAGACAAAAAACAAAAAATAATTATTTAAGAACTAGAATCACTAGCAATTGGTGATAGATTAGCTGAATGTAGGGAGTTTCAGGAAAGTGAAAAATTTGGGATGATTTATATTTCTGGCTTGTACAACTATATACAGATATAGACTTGATAAGAAGAGGAATATGTTTGGGTAGAAATAATAGGTGGTTCAGATGTGGACTTTACAGTATTTAGTACTGTGTGCCAAGGACCTATTCTAGATGCTGGGGATACAACATTGAACAAAGGAAACAGATTCCTCCTCCAGTAGCACTTACAATCTTGGTGACTATAAGAAATAAACAAACTGTATAATATGTTAGATTGTGATTATTATTATTATTATTTTGTGTGTGTGTGTGTGGGGGTACACGGGCCTCTCACTGTTGTGGCCTCTCCCGTTGCGGAGCACAGGCTCCGGACGCACGGGCTCAGCAGCCATGGCTCACGGGCCCAGCTGCTCCGCGGCATGTGGGATCTTCCCGGACCGGGGCACGAACCTGTGTCCCCTGCATCGGCAAGCGGACTCTCAACCACTGCACCACCAGGGAAGCCCAGATTTTGATTTTTTTTTTTTAAGCCGAAACAAATCCCAGAAGAGGAATTGAGGGACAGTTTAAAGTAGGGTGATCAGTGAACACCTCACCTAGAAAGTCTTTAAACAAAAACCTGATGAAGGTGAATATAGCTATTTAGAGTGTTCCAGATGGAGTAACAGTAGGTAAAAAGGCCTGATGTGTTTAAGGAACAGCAGAGAGGTCAGTTGAGGGAGAAGGGTAAGTATTAGAGGAAGACTAATAAGAAATGAGATTGGCGAAGTAATAGGTATTGGGGGGTAGGCTGATGTAAGGTACCATAAGAAATAAGAATAACTTTTATGATGTTACCCAAGTGTGATTCTTTTTTCCTTAGGAATTAAAAGTTTATTTTCATTATCTAGGTCTTGTTAAGACCGTATCTTAGTATCCTGTACCTGATTTTTGTTACAGCACTTACCATAACTGTAATTAAATAATTGTGCTTAGCATAGTGTCGTGTGCTTTGCTATAAAATACTTTTTGAATAAAGCATTTTATACTTTTGAATAAAGGAATGACACTTGCCTTCACTTGGTGGTTTAGTATATCTGAATATAATACTAAATTTAATGCAGAGTTGTTTTGAATGTGTGTGGGTGGGGAGAGTGACATGTATGTTTTGTTTTAAGCATTTAGAGTTAGGTTTGCCTTTGGTTACTTTTTTTTTTTCTTTTGTCTATTTTGTAATATAGGTTCCTTGCCACTGCTGAAAAGCAATAATAAAATTGAGTTTATTTTAAATGAGCATTAGCAATGGTGTCTTTGGATGGATGGTTTTCTAAGTGTATTAGTTAACAAGTCTCTTACCTTGGTTTGGTGATTATTTTAGATTTATATGTCGACCCTAGAACAGCACGGGTTCACTTATTTTTTTCAGTAGTAAATACTGTATAGTACTGCATGATCCATGGTTGGTCAAATCTGTGGATTCAGAACCTTGCATATGGAGGATGGACTAGGTTATATGGGGATTTTCCATTGCATGGGGAGGGTTGGCACCCCTAACCCCCCTGTGTTGTTCAAGGGTCAACTGTACTCTTACATCAAAGCAAATGTCTGTAGTTTCTGTAATTACTCAGCCGTAGTTATTCAAATAGACTTAGTATTTTAATCAGAAGAAACAAGCTTAATTTATTTATTAAATAATGCAAATAATTTTATTTCCTATAATCATCAATTATATCTCAATAAGGCAGGAACAAAAAAATTGGCTAAATGCAGTGTGGTATCTTGGATTGGACTCTGGAATATAAAAAGGGCATAAGTGGAAAAATCTGGTGAAGAAATGAAAGACTGGCGTTAGTTAATGTAGTAATGTGCCAATGTTAATTACTTGTTTGACAAATGTAACATGATTATGTAAGATGTTAGGGGAAACTGGGTGAAGGGTATATGGGAACTTTCTATACTATCTTTGTAACTGTTCTGTAAATTCAAAATTATTCTGAAAATAAGTTTTTTTTTTTTTTAAAGCAACAAAAGCTACTGGGATGGGGAAGAATACAGTAATCACTAATTAATGTATAGAATTCATAAATTTTAAAAATTTAAGAGTAAAATGATTCAGGTAATACAGAATGGTATCATAAATTTAGAAAAAGCAAAGATCCTTGCTTAATTACTCTAGTCCCGTTCCCTGGAAGTAACCAGGTTTTGTTTGTTTTTTATTTTTGTTTTTTAATTTTTTGTTTATTCTGGTGGTTACTGCCATAATTCCAGAGATGCTTATACCTCTAGGCCTTGATTGATCAACTTTAGACAGTGTCTGCTGACTCTTTACCACGAAAGATTTGTTTTATTAGTTATATTATTATTATTATTTTTTTTTTTTTTGCGGTACACGGACCTCTCACTGTTGTGGCCTCTCCCGTTGTGGAGCACAGGCTCTGGACATGCAGGCTTAGCGGCCATGGCTCATGGGCCCAGCCGCTTCGCGGCATGTGGGATCTTCCCGGACCGGGACACGAACCCATGTCCCCTGCATCGGCAGGCGGACTCTCAACCACTGCGCCACCAGGGAAGCCCTTGCATGTAACTTTGATTCTAGGATGCCTTCAGTTGTAAGACCCATCATTGCTTTAAAAAACTATTCATTGGGGATGGGGGGGCAGTACATTTAATGATTGGTTAATTGAATTCAGCCCAATTTCAGAAATACTAAAATGAGAAAATGTATTTGTAGTTAATGTTTTTATATAGAGGGGGAAACAAACAAAAAAATTAGGTCATCTTTAATTCTATTGTACACCTAGATTTTTTTTCACCAAAGTAACCTTTCTTTTTTTCTTTAAAAAAAATTGAGACTATAAGCCTGCCTTTTCCTTCAAACCCACTCCCCCACCTTTATTTATTTTGGTGGCTATATCATAATTGTATGTGTGGGTGTACCTAACTTGTTTAACTGGTTCCTTTCTTTGCAGCTTTTTCTATTATAAGCAGTACTGTGAAGAACATTTCTTATAGCTGAATCTTTGTTCATATCTGTGGGTTTTGGGGTTTTTTTCCCCTTTAGATGATGAGGTGGAACTTCTGGGTTAAAGAGAATGTACATTTTTGTGATATAACTTCGTAAAAAAGAAAAGCAACTTGACTTTTTTTTGGCTATAAATCATTACTAAAATATAACTTTTTCTTCTTTATTAGTGAACACTTGTCCTGCTCTTTCACCTTTTTCTTGCATGGAGACAGCAATGTTTGTACCAGTGTGGAAATTAACCAACATCAACCTGTATATCTTCTTAGTGAAGAACATATCACCCTTGCTCAACAGTCTAATAGCCCATTTCAAGGTAGATTATTTTATTGGCTTAGTTATTTGATCTTTTATTGTTTCAAGAAAAAAATTCTTACTGAAATTGGTAGCGATTAATGAGATTTCCCCCGATCTTTAGCCTAATGATGATTCTGATGTAGTTTACTTCTTTCCCATTTGAGTATTAAGTCAATGAAATAAGTTTTTTAATACAAATATTTTAAAAATTTCTTGTACATGAATGTTAGCGTAATTTAAAGTGTTTCTTTAAATAGCCTCTAGATGGTGTACATGTTTACATTTTCAAAGTTATCTTGTGTTTCAGGTCACATAAGCCATTTTTAACATAGGTACACAGAACTTTTGATAATAATTCTTACTGTGAAAGTGGTTGAACTCTAGAGGAAATATTTTATAAGATTGATGATTTGTTTTTAAGAACTGGCAGTACGTTCTTGTTTTAATTCTAAGCCTAGTATTTGCTTTTTAAAAATTTACATGGCAGCATATAATAAATACTTAGATTTATTTACCACACACACACACACACACACACACAATTTTTCCTCAAATTGCTTTTCCTTAGGGGAAAGTCAAGAGAAGTTGAAGGATATACAAGTATTCCCAGTTATGTAGGAATTCTGTCCATCTCAGATTTTTGGGTAGACAAAATTCTAAGTTTTTTATAATAAACTCAGTGTTGTACTTTATCTTCGAAATAATGAAGTACAATAAATTGATTTTCTCTGGAATTGATCATTATGGATTTCCTTTTCTTCCTTTTTTTGAATTGCATAATTACTTGCCATACTGTTCAATGTCATCTTATTTGGTATAATCATCTTTAGGTACTTACTTGATATCTGTTTTGGGTTTCTAGTTATCTTAAGCCCATTTGGACTAAATGGCACTCTCACAGGACAGGCATTCAAGATGTCTGATTCAGCTACAAAAAAATTGATTGGTGAATGGAAACAGTTCTATCCTGTCTCATCTTGTTTGAAGGAGATGTCTGAAGAAAAACAGGAAGATATGGATTGGGAAGATGATTCTTTAGCTGCAGTAGAAGTTCTTGTTGGTAGGGATTCCGAGTATTTAATCCTAAGGGGGGAAATATGTGACTATATGTATTAGTTAGATTTTGCTGAATAATAATAACTCTGATACCTTAGTGGTTTTTAACAGCAAATATTTATTTCTTCCTTATTTCCTGCTTACAGTACATAAGGGCTGCAGTTTGGTTGTGGTTTGGCTCCTTGTGTCTTCTCATCCTTCAGCCTAGGTTCAAGGAGTACCCCAGTATCTGGGAGATATTATTCTTACAAGAACAGAGTCCCTATTATTCAATAGGGACTGAGCCTAACCATATAAGTGTATTTAAAGCTTCTGCTAGGGATATGATGTATGTTGCATCTGTTCACACTCCGTTAGGTAAAACTAGTCATATGGCCAAACCAAAGTCATTAGGGCAGGGAAATATATTCCACCTAGAGGGAAAAATGCTAAAGGTGGGAAGAAAATAATTATGAATGAATAATATTTGGAGGTTGGAAAGTTGACAGCGTGTGTGATGCAGTATTTTAACATTTGGTAAAGCTGTTGCCTCTGATAAAAGACAGGAAACGTATACCAGAAGGACTTGTAGCTTTGATTTGCTTTGTCCAGGTCAGCACTATTTAGGTTGGCTTTATTATATTTATCTTCTTACTTAGGGACCTAGGTTAACAAGGTAAACTATATTTGAGACATGCCAGAGACAAGGCAGAGGACATAAAGTAGGAGAGGCTGCATTGATCCTGCAAGTACATCTGAAGTTCCTATTGGGTTGTGGCATCTATCTCATGCGCTTACATTCCAGAGCAAGTTGCACAGCCCAGCTTAACAATGAGGTGAAGATGTATACTCCACCTTAGAGAGACATGGGAGGTGTGGGGAATGTATGGGTGAACAGATAATTGGTTTGAGCAGATTAGAATTTGCAACACTGTATTTATTGGATTCATATGGTAAATGTTATGTATGAGATTACCTTATTTTTTTAATAAAAGAAATATCAGTATTCAATTTCAATAAATTTATTACTAGAGTAGTTGTGTCAAAAACAAAAACAAAACACAAACATATATTTGGCTTTTTAAATAGAGGCATATAAAGAAGAAAACAGAAAATGGTCCGTATTTCTAGTGCCAGTTACCTTTGTTAAAGTTTTAAAATAAACTTGGTCAACTTTGCAAATAAAGATCTTTTTTTGTAAAAGAAATACACATTCATGGTTAGAAAATCCAAAAGCAAAAAGAGAAAGCTGCTTTCTTCTAAGTCTCTGTCTGTCACTAAAGGTAACCACTACTACCAGGCTCTTGTGCCTTGTTCAAGAAAAACCTTATGCCAGAAAGAGTACATTTTTAAAAGTACATTAAATGTATTTTTATTTTAACAAGTGTGATCATATTATATCTACTTTGCCATTACTGCACTTTTGAGTGAAACTAATCCCACTACAGTCACAATAGTAATTGATTTTCTTATCCTTTTTTTTTTCCTTTTAGCTGGTGTCCGAATGATCTACCCAGCATGCTTTGTTCTAGTCCCTCAGTCAGACATTCCTACTCCTAGCTCTGTGGGATCCTCTCACTGTTCAGCTTCTTGCTTGGGTGTCCACCAAGTGCCTGCTTCCACAAGAGATCCTGCTATGTCTTCAGTTACTCTTACACCACCTACATCTCCTGAGGAAGTTCAAACAGGTATTGTACTAGTTTGTTTCATTAGCTCTAGTGATAAATCTGTTATCTTGAATATAGTAAACACTTAAAAAATAATTATTTTGGAATAATTTCAAACTTACTAAAGTGTTTGTAAGTACAGTGCAAGGAACTCTTCTCATTCAGATTCCCAAACTGTTAACATTTGCTCCATCACCCTCTGTCTATGCATACATTCCTTATAACTGATCTTTTTCTGAACCATTTGAGAAAAAGCTGCAGACATGATGATGCCCCATCATGGGATGATGCCCATCACCCCTAAGTACTCAGTCTGTTTCCCAAAATTAAGTACACTTTCCTATATGACTACCATTTAATCTTCCAAGTCAGGAAATTAACACTGATATAACACTATCATCCAGTTCCCATTCCCTGTTCAAATTTTTTTTTTTTTTGCTCTCTGTATTTTAAGTAAAGTGACATGCTTTTTTGCCTCAGAATATAAGTAGGCTTTCCAGATAGCTACTGGTAAGTTATCTATCCAGCTGTCTATCTTACCAGGGCAAGTTATATCAGAAATTTAAAAAAACAAAAACAAAATAATGTTATTTTAAACCTACCTTTATTCTCCTACAGCCTGTTCTTTTTTGTTTTCAGTTGATCCTCAGTCTGCCCAGAAATGGATCACATTTTCTTCAGTATCTGATGGCTTCAGCTCTGATAGTACTAGCCATCATGGTGGGAAAATACCCAGAAAATTAGCAAATCATGTGGTGGATAGAGTTTGGCAAGAATGTAATTTGAACAGAGCACAGAACAAGTATGTATTTTCATCTTCAAGTTTTAAAATTTCATGTTGGTAGTTACTTGTAGATAAGAGATATTTAAAGTATAAACTGTTATTCATATGATTTTAATTGAAAAAATGGATTTTTAAAAATTCAACTTTAATGCTTAATTCAGGGTTACAAAAAATTTTATGAATTCTAAAGAGTTTTATAATTTCAAATCTTAGGAGGAAGTATTCGGCTTCATCAGGTGGTCTATGTGAAGAAGAGACAGCTGATAAAGTAGCATCCTGGGATTTTGTTGAAGCTACACAAAGAACAAATTGCAGCTGTTTGAGGTAGATTTTTTTTTCTTTTCCATTTGGTTGATGTCGGTATATACACGTATGTGTGGTAGTTTCTTATGCTGTTGCATACTTAGGCCCCACTTTGTTTGAGATACCTTACGTAAACACAGTTAGGATTTTTTCCAAAAGAAAAATGTATGAGGAAAATAAAAATTCAGTAATACGGAGCTGATTGTAGAAGGACATACAAATGTATAGGTTCTTATACAGTTACCAGAGCTGGACTGTGAAAGCTTCGATTCATAGCCAAATAAAAGAATTTTATACTGATTTATGGAATATATAGCATCTATAAGGTAAGAGGAACACAAGTCTCTTGAGAAAAGTGTTCATAAATGGCACTGTGCTTGAGAAATTTCTCCCAAGCATTCTCATAGAAAAGATGATATATGATATACTGAGATAAAATTTTTCTCAGTCTTTTTTATAGTAAATACAATATTGGGTTTTGTGCAGCAGTTTCTTATAACATCCCTTTGGTCAAGCTGTAGGTGAAATGCTGAACTAAGATTCAGAAAATAAGATTCTACAAGGGACCAAAGCTGTACTGTAAAAATACAGGCTTTCTAATAGACTGTGTTGGTTGAAAGGTTGGTAGAAGAATGGATGTACTTGGAATTTTTTAGGCAATGATATTTATTTTATATATTGGGGATTTTGATGAGATTTATCACAGGCCTAAAGATTATGTTGCCTAGAGTTTATTATTTTATTCTACAGATTAAAGATAGATCATATGTTTTTGCAGTCAAGTAAATAAATAATGGCATTGACATCCCTAACCATGACTTACAAATAAATGCACAGTTGGCCACCCCTTCTTGTCATGGCTGTGAGCCAAAGGGATGGAGTGCTTGCAGGTTAGGGCTAAGGTTTTTCTTACATTAGCTCTGTTTGATTGAGTGCAGTGACAGACTCAAGTGTTCTGATGTGTTTTTGCATAGATTGTTTTCTTTTATATAGATTCTTTGGATTAAAGACTGTACAATTTTTTAAAGTCTGGTAACCTTGTTAAAAACTTGCCTCTGTTGTTGACAAGAGAGATTGGAATAAAAATATGGATAGATTAGCTCCTGTTTAACAGTTTAAAGTAGTAAAAACCACACTCACCTTGAGGGGAAAAAAAACCAAACTTAGTCTTTTTTTTTTTTTTGGCCGCGTTGGGTCTTCGTTGCTGTGCGTGGGTTTTTCTCTAGTTGGCAGCGAGCAGGGGCTACTCTTCGCTGCAGTGCGTGGGCTTCTCATTGCGGTGGCTTCTCTTGTTGCGGAGCATGGGCTCTGGGCATGCGGGCTCAGTAGTTGTGGCTCGCGGGCTCTAGAGTGCAGGCTCAGTAGTTGCACATGGGATTAGTTGCTCTGCGGCATGTGGGATCTTCTTGGACCAGGGCTGGAACCCGTGTCCCCTGCATTGGCAGGCAGATTCGTACCCAAATAATGCATTGAAGCCCTGCATTTCAAGACTAAGTTTGGGAAGTCCCAAACTTACTCTTGAAATGCAGGGCTTCAATGCATTATTTGACTAAGACCAGGGGTTGTTGGCAAACTACAATCTGTTGACCCCATTTGGCTCACCTATTTTATATGGTGTGTGAGCTGAAATGATTTTTACAGTTGTAAATATTTGAAAATAATGAAAGGAAAATATTTTTCGAAAGTTATGTGAAATTCAAATTTTAGTGTCCATAGATAAGAATTTATTGGGACAGAGCCACATCTGTTCATACACATATTAACTGGCTGCTTTTACAGAGTTGAGTGGTTACAAGACAGACTGTATGGCCCCCCAGAGTCTAAAATGTTTACCATCTGGTCCTTTACCAAAAAAGTTTGCCAATCCCTGGTCTAAGACCGATAGAATGCTTAAATGAAATTAGACTTTTCTTTCACTGTTTTGGCATTTTTATCAAGCAGCTCTTCTTTTTTAGTTTCTAACCTAGGCATTGCTTTATTCTTTTTGAAAGATTTGGGTTTTAAGTCTATTTGTCTAGAATAGTTGTAGAGGAAGACACTCAAAATGCATGTTGGTAAACGTAAGTTTTAATTCTTGCTCTAAGCCGAACTTTTATTTTTAAAAACATACTTTCTTTCCTAATTCCAGAACTTCCTCCTAGGTATTTAGAGCTTTGATATGATGAAATTTCCTATAATCTATATGTTCCCTAGCTTTGGTAAATTTACCCTTCTAGTAAATATAGTGTTTCTAATCATTTACTTTATTTTTTTCATTCACTTTTTTTTTTTTTTTACTACTGCATATTGTAGATTCCTCCTGTACCCCTGCCTCTCCCCCGCAAATCTGGTTCTCTTCTTTAGTTCATAAGTAAGGCTTGAAACAGACTTGGAGCCACCCTGTTATGTGTATCCTCTCCTGGTATAGAATATAGGAGGTAGCGCATACATTGATAACTGACTGTACTAGTCAGCCAGTCTGTTCTCAAATCTATCCCTACATTTTCCCTGCTCTGTTCTGTTTTGCAGGGAGTTAGAATTCCTAGGCTCCCTTGCTTTTAACATGTGTTTTTTGGTTTCCCCCCCCCAGTTTTATTGCGATATAACTGACAAATGATATTGTATGATTTTAAGATGTCAGTGTGATGATTTGATTAGGCTTACTTGCTTTTTGGAGTTGGCTAGTTGGAGGCACTAAGAGAAGATTGGTTGATAAGAGGAGGAAAGAAGCCAGGGTATTTCCCCACCCCTTTTTTGAGCCAACTTCAGCAACAGCTCTGTGTCCCATTAACAGCCCCTTCTTCTGTGGTTCCCGTTACCATTGGGCAGTTCCTGCTGTGGTTGTAGCACCATCCCGAGCGTCTGTGATCTGATGAGATTACTTCATCTTACTGTCCTTTCAGCCACAGAAGTGATTGAAGCTCCCCTCCTGTTCCTGCTTTCTCCGTTACCTCATTTTCCTCTGTTTTGTTTTTTGATAAATGATTGTAGTACATTTACTCTGTGTGAAAGATAGGACTGGACTCTTAGAAATTGATTTGAAAAAAAATTGCATAAGTATAAGCAGTTTGCATGATGTATATGTGATTTTAAGAAATTTAAATTATACAAATAGGCTGAAGTACTGCTTGACCACTCTCTTTCCAAAGCCTACTCTCTCCCTAGAAGTAACTACTTGCCAATTAGGTATTATCCTTTCATGCTTTTCTCTGTAATATTGTATGTATATGTGTTTCTCCTCCCAACACATGAACATAATACAGATGTATTTGGCAGTTTATTTTTTCACTTCATGTGCCTTAGATCGCTCCATTCTAGTTACTTGTGGATCTGCTTTATTGTTTTAAAAAAACTTCTTGGCATTCCACTGAATGGAAGTACCATAGTGTATTTAATCATTCTGGGTTTGATGGACAAATAGGTTGTTTCCAAAGGTTTTTTTGTTTGTGTTTACTTTTTAAAAAATCATACTTTTCTGACTATTAGTTATTTATTAGACTTTTTTTTTTGACACTCTGTGATAGACGATGTCCAAGGCTCAGGATACATTAGTGAACAAGGCTCCTGCTGTTGTGAAGCCTTCATGCTAAGGGGAGTGGGGCAGATAATTAGTTTTCAAAAAAAATTCTTAATCCTTTTAAAATTTAAGAGTGGTGAGTGCTAAGAAGGAAATAAAATTAGGTGGGTGATATGATAGAGAGTTGTGGGCAAGGGGGCTATTTAAATACTTTGCTTGTGACTTCAGAAAGCTTCTACCAGTTTCACTCCCACTTCTTGCATATAAGAGTGCTGGTTTTTCTTATGCTTTCACTGATCTGAGAGCTGTCCTTAAAATTATTTTTTTCCCATTATAGTAAGTGAAAAGCATAAAATTGTTCTAATTGGCATTTTTCAGTTGTTAGTGAGATTAAAAACTGCACATTTATGGATATTAGGCTTTAGTCTCATGGAATGTTCATAAGAAAATTAGCACTTAGCAAGCTGTATAAGTAGAAAGCAATACAATAAATTTTAGATATTAACACTAAAATACTAGGAACTTCAATTAATAGGAAAAATAATTAAAGGAATCACTCTGTGATACTTTCAGGACAACAACTTTTTTAGAAAGATTCTCCAACTTGGTTGATTTCTAATATGAAATTCAGTTGTCTCTAAAGAAGACTAGCTTTTAGGGAAAGGTCTATATAGAAGAAAGGAACTATGATTTAATGTTACCAAAGTTTTGGAGAGCCATTGCTATTCGTATATAGCCCAAATTAATAGTTTCTTTGCCTTATGGAAGGACAAAGGAATGTATGGCTGTTTACTTTTCACATCCCTTGTATACTTGGAATGTAACCAGGTAGCTCACCTCAGATTATTGGAGATTGTTTTTCTCCTTAGTGCCTTGCATAACTTGATGAATTCTTAAGCTTTTGGTTTCAAAACTCATTTACACTCTTAAAAATTATAGGGTATCCGAACATGCTTTTATTTATGTGGGTCACGTCTATTTATATCATTTTAGGGAAATTTTAAAGCAGTGCTTAGTTTATTTAAAAAATAACAAAAACCAGTACAAATTAACATGAATAAAATACTTTTATAGAAATCAACTATATCTTCCAAAGCAAAAAGCAGGTTAGAGGACTTCCCTGGTGACGCAGTGGTTAAGAATCTGCCTGCCAAAAACGCAGGGGACACGGGTTCAAGCCTTGGTCCAGGAAGATCCCACATGCCGGGGAGCACCTAAGCCCATGCGCCACAACTATTGAGCCCACGTGCCGCAACTACTGAAGCCCACGTGCATAGAGCTTGTGCTCCGCAACAAGAGAAGCCACCACAATGAGAAGCCTGTGCACTGCAATGAAGAGTAGCCCCCAGTTGCCGCAACTAGAGAAAGCCCGCACACAGCAACAAAGACCCAACGCAGCCAAGAATAAATTAAAAAAACAAAAAACTATATGTCATAAAATAACCTTAAAAAAAAACAGATTAGAAGAGATAGTTGACATTCTTTCCTTCATAAATGTCTTTAAAAATTGGTGGATATTTTACACTTACAGCACATCTCAATTTGTACTCTCCACGTTTTGAGTTCCTAGTTAGCCACGTGTGACTTTGGATACCATTCTTGGACAGCACAGCTTTAGAAATAGAGTTCAAAATAGGACTAATGTCTGGATATAGGCAAAAAAATATACATACACACACATATATAAATGTCTGATATAGAAAAGACAGGTTTCTAGTCAATATATTATTTTCTAACAACTGGAGGAGCTGCATTTCCTCATAAGGAAATGTGGTCCTTGTCATTGAAAATATTCGAAGAGGGGTTGGTTAGAGAAGGGGTTATTCTTACATTGGATAGAACCTACTGTTTGTTTTTTAACGACCAATAACTTTATTAAATTTTTTAAAATTCTATTTAAAAAATTTAAATAATGCACACGAATATAAAACTTAAAATGACAGGTTCTCCCTGTTATGCATGTATGTAGATCTGCCTGCCTGTTTTCTTTTCCACAAGTGGAATCATGCTTTGTATACTGTTCTTCAATGTGCTTTTTTTGAAAAACAGTTATCCTGGGTATCTTTCCTTATTAGCACATATAGTTCCACTCTCTTTTTTCTTTTAAGTTCATAGTACTCCATGATACTGTTGAGGTATAATGCTTTATTTGGCCAGTCACCCGTGCTGCACTCTTGCTGAAGATTTATTTTTTTGTGGTATGCGGGCCTCTCACTGTTGCGGCCTCTCCCGTTGCGGAGCACAGGCTCCGGATGCACAGGCTCAGCGGCCATGGCTCACGGGCCCAGCCGCTCCACAGCACGTGGGATCCTCCCAGACCGGGGCACGAACCCGCGTCCCCTGCGTCGGCAGGTGGACTGTCAACCACTGCGCCACCAGGGAATCCCTCTTGCTGAAGATTTTTAAAGCAAATCTTAAATACCGTCATTTCACTCCTACTTCAGTATGCAACTCTAAAAAATGTTAATATTTTCTTACGTAGCTATAATTCCATTATCACACCTGATAAAAGGAACAGTATTTTATTGGTATCATCTGATACCTTCTACTGATATGTCTCAGAAATATCTTTTTGTAGTTGGTTGGTTTGACTAGGATTCAAATAAGGAGTAGACATTTGATTGTTAAGTTTTCCAGGTCTCTCTTTTAATCCTCTTCCTCCTTTTATGACATTGACTTGGTTGGAGAAACTAGGTCAGGTGTTTCTATAGAATGTCCCACATTATGGATTTTCTCAATTTGTCATGTATTTTAACTTGTTCTTCTGGTGTCATTTAACTTCTTTTATCCCTTGCATTTCTGTAAATGGAAGGTAGCTCTAGAGCCATGTCCACTAATACTAGCTATGTTTGTAACCACTAGTCACTATTTAAATTTATTTATTTACTTGGCCACACTACTCGGCATGCAGGATCTTAGTTCCTGGACCAGGGATCGAACTCATGCCCCCTGCAGTGGAAGCATGGAGTCTTAACCACTGGACCACCAGGGAAGTCCCTGTGGCTATTTAAATTCAAAGTAACTGGATTTAAATAAAAATTTAGCCCCTCCATTGCACAAGTCACATTTCTAGTTCTTAGTAGCCACATATAGAACATTTCTATCATCACAGAAAGTTATTTTGGACACTGCTGATCTAGAGGCTTAATTAGGTTCAGGTTTAATATTTTTGGCGAGAATACTACATAGGCAGTGCTGTGTTGCTTTGTATGGTGTCACATCAGAAGAGACATATGCCCGGTTATCCCACTTTTAATAATGTTAAAACTAAGAAGGTGGGGATCAGCCTGATGCCTTCATTGTAAAGTTCTAATCATGTTTACTATGAATAAAGACAGGTTTTCTTCTTCTTTTGAAATCTCTGATCTCTTTTTTTTTTTTCTTGACTTGTTGCATTGGCTAAGACTTTCAATAAAATTGTTGAAAAGAAATGTTGAGAGTTAATACTCTTGCTTTGTTCCTAGTCTTAGGGAGAAAATATTTAGTCTTCCATCATTAAGTATGATGTTAGTTGTAGTTTTTCATAGACGTCCTTCATTGGACTAAGTTCTAATACTTGCTGCATCTTTTTATATGAATAGGTGTTGAATTTTGTCATGTTTTTCTATATTTATTGAGATAATCATATGGTTTTCTGTTTTATTCTGTTATGTGATGAATAATATTGGTTTTTTTCTTGTGAATGTTACACCTTACATTCGTGGGACAAATTCCATTTGGTTATGATGTATTCTCAGTTTATATATTACTCATTTGTTCATTTTGTTAATGATTTACATCTGTTCTCAAGGAATATTGTTCTGTGATTTCCTTTTCTTATGATGTCTTTGGTTTTGGTGTCAGAGTAATGATGGATTTCTCCTGTGTCCTTTTGACATAACTGCAGTTTTCTTTGATAACTTTCATGCTTTTTTTCCCCTCCTGTACAATAAGAGGTCCCAGGCTCTGTACAAAAGGGTGTCTCAGCATGTTCCCTCAGTAGAGAGGGTTCTTTGAAAAAGTGCCTGCCACTGCTTTTTAATAGTCTTTCAGGTTACCTCTGATATAACAAAACCATTAATAAAGTATATTGTAAAAAGAAAACAAACAAAAAAACCTAATGAATACTTAATGCTTTAACTCCAAATCCCTGCAAATTTTTTTTCTAGTTTTTTACTTAAAAAGTATTTTATAAACATTAATATCAGTTGAATTTGGAAATCTCCAAGTGCACAGTATTTTTACTGCACTGAAAGAAATCTTAAACTTTGAATAAAATTATTAGATTTTAAGGTATATAGTTTTAAATTCTTCAATTTAAAATTGCTTCACATCATGAGGAATAAATTCTTTTGGGTACTTCCTTTTCTTTTTCCTTTCCAGTCAGCTTATTCTTTCTGTATTGGTAAGCCTTGGGAGAAGGAAGGTAGGTATGGTATGGGGCATCAACCAGTCAATTCCAGAACTATCCAGATGGAGATAACTACAGTCTTGATTGATCTAACTTCAGTCCAGTAGAGTAAGTTTCCTAGCTCGTTGCTGTAGGATCGTAGATGATGACTGAGCTCAGCCAAGCTGTTGACATTGATTTATAACAATTACTAATGGTAAAATATCAGGTACATTCATAAATGAATAAATTTGAGGACATTTTATACCTTTTTATATTAAAATAACTAGAATCTTATCTCTGTATTCAGATACTAAGATATTTAGATTATGTAAGGCAGGTCATCTTTGGCTATCGATCACATGTTAAATGAGGATGAGAGATTGGCTTTTATGAAGCTTTCTGCATGCTCTTAGTTTTAGGCCACTGAACAAAGTATTTTTTTTTTCTATGTAAATTCAAATAATTTTACTTTTAGGATTATGTGTGAAAAACAAATGACATCCAAAATTTCTAATGCTGTTAACTTGTATACTCTGATATAATAGTTATACTATAAATAAACCTTTCTTTTAACTTTTCAGGCACAAAAATCTCAAACCAAGAAATCCTGGACAACAAGGACAGGCACCAACTTTAAGTCAGCAACAACAAGTACTTCCAAAGCACAAGACCAATGAAAAGCAAGAAAAGAGTGAAAAACCACAAAAACGCCCCTTGACTCCTTTTCACCATCGTGTATCTGTTAGCGATGATGTTGGCATGGACACAGATTCAGCCAGCCAAAGACTTGTGATCTCTGCTCCAGACAGTCAAGTGAGATTTTCAAACATCCGAACTAATGATGTAGCAAAGACTCCTCAGATGCATGGCACTGAAATGGCAAATTCACCTCAGCCACCCCCACTTAGTCCTCACCCATGTGATGTGGTTGATGAAGGAGTGACTAAAACACCTTCAACTCCTCAAAGTCAACATTTTTATCAAATGCCAACACCGGATCCCTTGGTTCCTTCTAAACCAATTGAAGATAGGATAGACAGTTTATCCCAGTCTTTCCCAGCTCAATTCCAGGAAGCTGTAGAACCTACAATATATGTTGGTACAGCAGTAAACTTGGAAGAAGATGAAGCTAATATAGCCTGGAAGTATTACAAGGTCCCAAAGAAAAAAGATTTAGAGTTTTTACCACCTCAACTTCCAAGTGATAAATTCAAGGATGATCCAGTTGGACCTTTTGGACAGGAAAGTGTAACATCAGTTACAGAGTATGTATTTTTTTTAATAGTCACTATTATAATTTAAGGGTGGAAATGATGTAGGTTCTTAATAGTAGGACTCCAGAATGGTTTCAGGGTAGGATTTACAATAATAAATCCTTTGAGTATTTGAGTATTAATTTTGCATAATTTCTTTACTGTTTTTTCCTCAGGGGACCTCTTTATTATGAAATATTTTAGTCACAGAAAAGTGGAGAAAATAATAACATTTATCCATCAACAAACTTAAGAATTTTACGTACAGTTAGAACCCCTGTGTACTATTTTTCTTCCTCCATTCTTCCTTCCACTGTCCTGAATTTGGTATTTATCATTTCTATACATGTTTTTATTCATGTAGCTCTAGTTAATTCATTTTACTTGCTCTCTAGTATTTCTTTGTTATGAATATGCCATAATTTATCTACTCTCTTGAGATGGACATGTTGGTTATTTTCAATTTTTCACAAAGGATGTAGCAGTGAACTTTTTTGTACACATTTCCTTGTATACTTATATACATAAGAATTCCTCTAGGGAATACAGCAAAAAGTGGAATTGCTGGGCCATGGGGTATGTCGATATTCAACATGAAGGGTTGTTGCCAAGTTACTCTCCAAGCTATACTAGTTTACACCCTCATCAACCAGCAGAGTGTGGGAATAGCTGTTCTACATTTTCCTCAGTACTTGGTATTATGAGACTTTTAATTTGGCTAATCTGCTGCATGCAGAATGGCCTATTATTGTCTTACTATGTTTTAGATTCCTAGTGAGGTTAAGCATCACTTAAAGTGTTTACAGGCCTGTATATCATATGTTTTAGTCTATTTTCGTTTCTTTTTTTTCCTGATTTATTCTTTTCATATTCTGGTTATTAATCTTATATTAATTATATGTGCCTCAGATATCATTTTTAGTCCATTTTTTTTTTCTTTTCTGTTCCTCCTAATTATTCTTTGTATATTCTGGCTATCAATCTTGTATTAGTTATATGTGCTACAGATATCTTCCTCTGTTCTGTGGTTTGCCGCCTTTGTCCACAATATATATGACATACTTTGGGGCAGAAATAGGTTTTTTTTCAGGTCTCCCTTTACTTTCTGTGTTGTTCTGATTATATTTATTATCTGTCACACAAGCTTTTTGCATTTTTATCTATAGTGGGGTTTTAAAAAATTTTTATTGGAGTATTAGTTTACAGTGTTATGTTGGTTTCAGGTGTAAAGCAAAGTGAATCAGTTACAGTGTTTTTTTTAAAGGTGAAGTCAACCAACCATTATATTCATTTTACCGTTATATTCATTAAAACTGTCTACCTATTTATTAATGCAAGGCCAAGTAGTTTGCAAAGATTACATTTCCTTCTCTATCAGTCTTTCAAACTTTTAGGGTCTTTAGCTTAGAATGTTGAAATTTCGCAAGAATATGTGTATACATAGTGTTCTTTTATTCAGTCCTTGTACTGAACTTTTGAGGAAGGCTGGTTCAATTTGAAGTCTTTTTTGTCCCGTCACTGGGAAGTTTCTCTTTTCTTGGAAAATATCTCCATTTTTTTCCCCCCGTTCTCTGCAGAACCTCTAGAATTCAGATGTTGAACTTCTGTATTTTCTCTCATTTTCCATCTTTTTTTCCTGAGGGGATTCCTCAACTTCTAGCCCTTTTCTTAAAGTCTTAATATTTGTTTCTCATGGTTTTTTAATTTCTAAGCTTTTTTTTTTTTAAATAGCAACCCCTTGTTTAATGTCCTGTAACTTTTTTTCCTTTAGAATTACTTTATTTGAGTCTTTTTCTTTACTGTACTGATTCTCATCATATTTCTTCTTACTGTTTGATCTTACACATTTTAGAATGAGGGAATGAATAGATGAGCTGATTGGAAATTTTGTGTATAAAGGCAGAGCCTTGTTGATTGGCAGGACTTAGCTCACTCAACAAATATTTTAGAATGAACTGTGTATCAGTTCCAGAAACTTTGCTTTATGGTAATGGGGTAGGGGATATTTAGGAGGGGAGGCCTTGTACCTAAACTTCCAGGATGAAAAGGATCTTGTGCCTTCACCAGGTAGTTTATTCATTTTTCTTAGAAAAGGAACCCTTTCAGGACTGGGGGGCAGGGGCAGGGGAATAAATCAGGAGTTTGGGATTAACGTATACACGCTACTATATATAAAATAGATAAACAAGGACCTGCTGTATAGCACAGGGAACTATATTACAATATCTTGTAATAACCTATAATGGAAAAGAATCTGAAAAAGAATGTATATATACACACACAAAACAGAATCACTTTGCTGTACACCTGAAACACACAACATTGTAAATAAACTATACTTTGATTTTTTAAATGGTTATAAAAAAAATAGGAACACCCTGTTTCTCCTTTTTCAGCTTTTTTTCATTTCTGTCTAGAGATGTAAGTCCAGATTTTCTCTGGTTTTTAGGCAGTTTGGCTCTCCTGTTGTTTATATAGTTTGCCCTTAGCCCCCTCTTGCGTATTGTAAGCCATGAACTTTCTCTGCTGTGTTTCGTTGATTTTGAGCTTCCCTGACACTAAGTAAAATTCCTGATATATTTATAGCTTCTTTCTCATTTTCCCTACTGTTAGAGATGTATTTTCTTTTAAAATTCCTTGGTTATTATTTTAGTAGACAAACCCGTGTGCTTCATCTAGCACTTTGAATCTTAAAAGCATTCTAGTATGACTTTTTTTAAAATGAAAATTAATCTGGACTTGAAATTGAGGGACTTCAGAATACCCTTATGATCATGGAAGATGACTAACTTAGTTAATAAGTCAGCAGATTTCTCGAAAGCGAATGATGTCTTGGAAACAAGGCTTAAAAGGTCTTAATCTGTGCTGGATGTAATATAAAAATCCAAGCTAACTTCAACTCTTGCCTGAAACTGTTGGTCTCCTTGATTCTATACTTCTCTTTATGTAGTCTCTATACAGCAGTCAGAGTGATCATTGTAAGTTAAATATGTTACTCATTTGCTTAAAACTCTTCATATTTAGAATAAAATCCATACTCTTTCTCTTTACTTGTATTTACTGCTCTCCTGTTTGCTTCCTGATTTAACCACACCAGCTTTCTTGCTATTCCTTCAAAAAAGTTAAGGTCATTCTTCATGGCCTTTAGAATTGCATTACGGGGTTGAACTCAAAAGTTACCTTCTCAGGAGGTATTTCCTTGACCACAGTACCTAAATTGTGACCTCTCTTTAATCCCCAAGTCACAACCTATCCTGTGTACTACTTTCATTTTCTCCATATATATAGTTATCTGAAATTATATATTTGTTAATGGTCTCTTCCCTATTAGAATGTAAGCTCTATGAGGGCAAGGACTTGGTCTTGTGCACTACTATGTTCTTCCAACTTACATGCACGCACGCACACACGCACGCATGCCTTCCCAGAACAATCCTAGGCACATAGACATTCAGCAAATGTTGGATGAATGAAATGACAGTATGGTCCTAGATTACTTTATGATTTTAAAACATTTCTTTCTAGGTGTTATATTTTCTTATTTAATGTATGTAAAAATGTAGTGATGTAAATATTTTCAGTTTTAAGAACTTTAAGAGTGAGTTTTTATGGACATATTATATTCATTGGGTTTAAGAATTCTAGCCATAACTTTATTTAGTGTATTGGCTGCTTGTGTGCATGAGCATCTGTAAGTGAAATGAAGGTCTCTTAGAGGTTAATACAGCTTAACCTTAAGAGTCGGTTCTAAAAGTACTTTGGCATTTTTCTCATTGAATAAGAATGAGAAAGAAACATAATGTATGCTGAGTAGAATGGTTCTGGGTCATGATTATGTAAATTAAGAAAAATACATGCCTCTACCTGTTCCTGGTCACCATCCTTTTCTGCCTCATAAAAAGAAGACAAAAAAGATTGAATAGAGGTTTTTTTGTTTTTAAAGTTGAATATGAATACAGTTTTGGTTATGCTAGTTACTAAAATGTGTGTTGTGTCACAAATTACTTGTAGATAGAATCCTTGTTTTCGTATTATAATACTAGATTAGAATAGGGTAGATATCACAGAAGGTCAACCATCAGAGTCCTCGCTGCTATATGAACTGAGAAATATTTGTGGAATACACCGGTTTTATACTTGGTAGGTTAGAAGTTTTGGTCTTACGTTTTAATCATCTAGATGATTTTATTTTATCTTCCTGAAGTTACTGGCAGTAGTTCTCAATTGGAGCAGTTTCTGGCCGCTTCCCACCCCCCCACCCCCAGGTGACATTTGGCAATGACTAGAGACATTTTGGTTGTCACAGCTGGGTGTGTGCTACTGACATCTGGTAGGTAGAGGCCAGGGATGCTGCTAAATATCTTACAGTGTATAAGACTGTCCCCCGTAACAAGGAATTTTGCAGCCCAAAATGTTAGTAATGTTGAGGTGCTTTAATGTTACAAATAACTTACTCTAGAGTTCAAGTTTCTGTTAAAAGTTATTAAATTAGATATGCCAAACATGTTTAATGATTAAGTTTCACTAGGGAGCTCTCTCCCATACTGCTTTAGTCTCCCCAAACCACAGTAAAATACCTGGCATGGTCTTCAGTGTTCGTGTTACGCTAAAACAAAAGTTATTTTTTCTCATAGTTAAAAAGATCTTGTTGGAATAGCTTATTAATTCAAGTATCTGCTCTTAATATTATTTGAGATGGGATATCATGTGAGGGTCAGTCATCTCCTTGTGGCAAGTTGGCAAAGCCAGTGACAAAGTCAGATGATGTCCCTTGTCATTAAAAATAAATTCTAAGAATTACTATTATGCTTTCTTAATGTCATTTAAACAATCTTAAATTCTTTGTAGAAGCATTCTGTATTTTTAAAGATATAATATGATGAAACATATTTCTGGTAATAAGAGTAATCCATTCAAAAACCTGGTTTGTTTTATATAAAAAAATTTGTGAATTTGTGTTACCCAGTCATTGTAAATTTCTATTATCTTTTTCCATGCTTTGAGTTTTGAAAATGTTTTAAAATATATAGCATTTAATTTTAATGAGGTTAATTAGAGGGCTGTTGCAACTCCTATATTTTTTATCCTTTCTTAGGAAGATTATCTTTTTTTTTTAATTCATACTCCTCAAAGATGCACTTTTTCAGTTTGAATAAAACTGAAATTTCTATAATATACAAGATACTGTAAGGCACTGTTGGGGTATAAGGTAAATTTGGGTCCTGGCCCTAAATGAAATTGTAGTCTAATGGAAAATAGCATTAAATTCTCTGACACAGCTATATATATATAAGATATAGTAGGGATGCAGAGCCAGAGTGGAGAATAATTCCATTTATGGAGATCAGAAGCTTTATGTAGTTTTGTATGGATAGATTATAGGGTGCTGCTTAGTGGTTTGATGTGTTATGGTGAGAAATGAGACCTAAAGAGTGGGGTTAGGTTATATAATGGAGTGGCAAAATATTATTTATAAGGTGATACAGGGGCCTCATTAGGAAATTAGAAAGACATGGTAGGGATGGAGGGATTTTATAGAGGTTGTGGAGTAGACTAAAGAACTTTATGGCCAATTAGATATATAATGCAGAGGGACAAGAATGCATCAGTAGAAATTTAAAAATGGTTTCTTTATAGTAGTTGACGTCTACAGATGTGTGCCTTTTTAGAAAATTATGGAGGAGAAATTTAGACCTTTGTTTTATTTATGTTAAGTGACAACTCAGTTTCCATTTGGCATAAATAAATGAAGTTTTCCATTGATTGGTATTAAGGGGTGGGCACTAGGCTTTCATAATAGGTAGATAAAAAGAGGTACTCTTTTTCAGTTTTAGATGGTGGTGGCTGCTTAACTAGTGCAGAGAAATTACTTCATCATTTCTAAGCATTTCCTTTATTCTTAGACTTCATGTGCAGCAGTCGATGCCAGATTTTTTAGCAACTACTTTAAAGCAAATTTCCTTTTCTAATTTGTTAGAATTTATTTGGAGGGGAGAGAGAGAGGTTGGGGGTGGAGTATAGCATATCTCCCACACAAGATATACACATCTGTGGCAAATATCTTTATTTTCTTTTTGCTTCTAATTATTTTTAGTTTCTTTATTAGTTAATGATAATGTCTATTTTAGAATAGTGGCTTAAGGCCTTGTAAGTTTTAAAGAAAGCAAAATTTCTGCCAGGAAACATTACAGTTGTTTTTAAATATATTTTTTCAAGGGTCTAGCACTTAGTTTTAGTAGAATTTGTGCCAGCCTTAAACAGTCTGTAACTCTTGATTCAGAAGGAACCTTTCTAAACCCTGAACAAAGAACTGTACTTGAGCATAGTTCTTATTATGTCTTCTTCAGTATAAAAAATACATCATGATATCTTAACCGTAATATCCCTCAATAGAACTAGCTCTTACGTTGTATATAATATGTATATACCAGATTTTTGTTGTATGTATCCAGTTATATAATGCATTATTTTATCTCTAAAAGATAGTTTCCAATTTTTGTTTCATAGAAGTCTATGATGAAATAAACTTGTTTTGATTTATTGTATTCTAAATCTTTTAAGATTTTTTTCTTTTTAAGATTTTTTTTCTTTAAGTCTTCCTTATTTGATATTTTAATGCAATAAAGCTATACTTTTGACAGCTAGCTTGACTCAGTTTAAGGACTGGTTATGAATATTGGAGATGGTACTGGAAAAGTTACTATTAAAATTTTTTTGAGATTTATTGAATTCATTTCTTCATTAACATTTCCTGAACTGTAGCTTATCTCCTGTAATTGCCAATTCTAAAATATTGTCACACCTTGTCTAGAAGAATTTTTATTGAATAAAGGCATAAAAGCATATGCCATAGGCCATGTTAAATTCTCTACAAGTACATTTTAGGATAGTATGTAACTGTCACAGTGAGAGGAAGGAGATATAGTTAATGAATAATATAAAAGTAATTTCAGTTTGCTATGGGCATTGCAAAGCTTCCTGTTCATGGCTGTACCTAATCATTCTTTTCCAGTTTGTCTGTATTTAGCTTTATATTTGATTGAAACTATCTCTGTAGTTAACTCTTTGGCTATATGTGAAAGTTCCTTTTAGAAAAGGAGAGGTGTGTTGTTCCTGTTCACAAAAAGTGTATGTATACTATACAGTTGGAGAGTGAAGAAATGCTAACTTGAGTTTTTAATCTGGCATCTCTTAAAAAAATAGCAATTTTAATTTCTATTTTTATCAGTTTTAAATATAGAAGGATGTGTAATGTAAATTTATATTTTTATTTTGACGATACTCTTGATATTATTGACTTCATTTAAATTCTTTGCATATCCCACTGTCTGTGAGAACCATTCAATAAAATAACAAAAAGTTGTCTTTAGGTATTGCATTTGATTTACTCATTTTTATTCCTAGTAGAGCCCTGTGCAGTGTAGGATTTTTCCTTTTAATGTTACTGCCTACTAGCTTAATAACTACTTGCATAAAGAGTGTGGCAGTTTTTATGCTTCTGCTAGAGGACAACTTAATATGAAAAACGGTTGTTTTATTCACCTCAATACAGAGTAGTCTTTCAGCTTAGTGACTGGGGTTGAGGGGGGTAGGTTCTTATACTTTTCGCCTATGAATAGTTATGTGAATTGGCATACTTAAAATCTTTCCAGCCCTAACTCTGCCACCATGTGACCATTTCTTTCAACATAATTTTCATATCAAGGAGAGCACACCCTCTGGTTCCTATTTTCATGATGTGATGTTAAGTATTAAATAAGAAAATATATGTCAAAATAGACGGAAGTGCTATTTTGAAAAGATTCACATTGATATCTGATAGACAATTCAGGAAACATTTAGGGTCTAATATGGTGAGGTACAAAGCTTCTTCTAAGAAATGAATGCTTATTCATTTATAGACCAGAACTATTCTAACAGGTAATTGTAGAATATAGCCCATTGACAGTTACGTTAGCACTATGTTCCTATGGAAGAAAGTTTTTGTAGACTTGGGATTTTAGTTTGGGGATAAATCTGAGGCACATTGAAATAACAGTGACATATATCATATTTGATAGCATGTTTAGAAAATGTCAGTTATTCTTTTGATGACCTCTGTTTCAACCTTAGTTTATAGGGTATAGAGTGCTTCTAGTGCTGGACATTGGTGAATAGATTAACAAGATACGATATCTCTGTCATTCAAAGAATTTATAAACTAGCAAATACCTTTATTGATTCCAAACCTTACTTCTCTTATGATTGTTTTGTCCTGATACTCAGGTCAGACAAGTAGCGGCAGCAGTATCACTTCCTAATGAATAAAGATGATTTATTTCAAAGTACAACATACTGTATTTTAGAATTATTAATGCAAACAGTATCTCAATCCTGTGTGGCTTTTAGATTTCATGTATTAATTTAGCAGGTATTTATTGAGCACCTATTATGTGCCAGGCACTCTTCTAGGCATTTGGGATAGTTCAGTAAACAAAGTTAAGATCCCTGACATTTAGAGGCTTATAGTCTAGTGGGAGTGACAGACAACCATGAACATAAGCAAATTATATAGTATATTAAGAGATAAATGCTATGGAGGGAAAAACAGAGCCCGGTAAGGGAGATCAATGTTGAGGCAGTGGGCATATTGCAATTTTAAATAAGATCTCGTAGATAAGGTGACATTTAAAGGCTTGAAGTGAGGGAGTTGGCCATGCAGATATTTGGAGGAAGAATGTTCCAGACAGAGAACAGCCAGAAGTGTGTCTGACCTGTTTGAGGAATATCAAGGAAGACCTTGGAAGAAGAGTAAGAGAGGGAGGAGTAGAATAACAGAAGATGAAGTTGGAGGGGAAAAGAGGAGACTGATCATGGAAAGCTTTGGTAGGATATTATAAGGACTTTGTTTTTTACTCAGGGTAAAATAGTCATTGCAGGATTTTGAGCGTTATCTGACTAGAAGCCTGGCTGCCATTATTATGGCAGCATGGGAATCTCAGCTTTGCACACCATAGAGAACATGAATTTGGGAGTCTAAAAGTGTCATAAACAAACCAAAAATGAATCATGTCTCTATTCCCACTCACCAAGCACCTTGGTCTTCAGAGATGGAAAAGTCCTGATGATTTCCAGGGTTCTGTGGTGCAGATCGGCTTCTTTTGTCTTCCCTCTCTAAGCCTTAGATTTCACCTTTCTTTGGTCTCTTTCCAATAGTTCATCTTTCTAACTTCAGTGTTGTCTTCTCGCTTGTTCTGTTGTCCTTTGTCATTTTATCGGATATTTTAGGACAGTATAAACATATATTTATCATTCACCATGGGAACCAAAAAACTAATAATTGATTTTCCAGCGTGATTAGTAAAAACCTCTGAGATACTTGCGCCGAAACTCTGTTTGACACTGTAAAACGTTTTGCTGGATTTATGGTAATAATGTTATTTTTATGAAACACAAGTCATGCTCTTAAGTTTTTTAAACTTAAAATATATCCACTCATGGCAGTAGGAAAAGGATAATCACTTTCATCGTAGAAAGGTATAAATTGTATAAAAGTAGTGTCTCACTGTATAGCCCACATTTTGAGAGTTTCTGTGCTGGAACAGTTTAGATTTGAATCCCTTTCAAGTGAATGGATTTGGACAAGTTAATGCAATTGAGGACTTGGGAACAGAGTGGATAACCAAAAGACAGCACATTTTGGTGGAAAGACTATGAGACCAGGATTTTAGCTCCATTTCTCTATTGCTAAATTTGATACTTCGGTAAATCACATAACTTTTCTATGCCTCAGTTTTTTCATTTGTAAAATGAAGGATTGAAAATTAGATCGTCTTTAAATAATTCTTTTTTTTTTAATAATTCTAAAAAGTTTATGATACTTAAGTCATTTTGGAAATCTGTTAAACTTTTATGGAGAATATGATTAATTTTCTTTTTTTTTTATGCAGGTTAATGGTGCAATGTAAGAAACCTTTAAAAGTTTCTGATGAATTAGTGCAGCAATATCAAATTAAAAATCAGTATCTTTCAGCAATAGCATCTGATTCAGAACAAGAACCTAAAATTGATCCATATGCATTTGTTGAAGGAGATGAGGAATTCCTTTTTCCTGATAAGAAAGATAGACAAAATAATGAGAGAGAAGCTGGAAAAAAACACAAGGTAAGAGAAATCAAAGTACACCAAAGTGTCACTGATGATCTGTAGCTCTGCATGTAGTACCACACTTGAATTCGGGGGAAAAAAAATTCATCATTTTAACTTAGAAAAACATTTTTTAAAAATAGGTAAATCAGGCACATTGTACACAATTTAAGAGCTTGTATGGGCTTGAAATTGTAGCTGGTCTCTGATAATGAAAAGATCTTTATTTTTTGTTGTAAAAGTTTTGAGGTTGGAGAAAGAGTGCATTAATTTCTGTTATATTGAAATCAGGACATTTAGGTAGACGAACTGTTTTGATTCTGAGTTAAACTATGCTGTAAGTGAATTACCAGTTTTCAAAAATGCAGTAAAATATACATCACTGAGTTTATAAAACACATGATATTTTGAATATGTGAATCAAGAACCTGTAGTGCCCCTGAAAGTAAAATGTTATGAGAATAAAGTGTGAGATGTACAGATACTTACTTGATTAAAATTTTAAAAATCAAATATTTGAGGATCTATTAAGGACACAGAAATCTATTAAGATAATTCTGCTAGATAAGAATTTTGCTGTAAATACAAAATTGGAAATTGAAAGCTGTAAAATTGCAAAAAGGACCCAATGTTTAATACAAAGAATTCATTTCACAAAGTTTTATTTAGCCTTACTGTGTGCCAGGTACTTGACATTTTGTTCTTCTGTAAATGTGAAAACAGTAGTATCTGGGAAAGCAGTAGGTATTGTAGAAAGAACATGGACTTTGGGATTTGGCAGATTTAGGTTGAAATCCCAGCTCCGCTACTTATCAGCTGTATTTCCTGGGTTATCTTTAGAACTATTTTTTGTCTGTAAAATGAGTGTACTACTTCCTTATCATATAGGTTAGTTGTGAGAGTTATTGATGTCTGTACTACACCCAGCAGAATGCTTGATACATAGCTACTCAATAGTTGGTATATTTTATTATTGGTAAAATATGTATTTCAGTCTAATGTGTAATATTGTATGCAGGTAGAAGATGTGCCATCTAGTGTAACAGTGTTATCACATGAAGAAGATGCTATGTCATTATTTAGTCCCTCTATCAAGCAAGGTAAAACTTTAATTTAATTTAATTTTATTTTTTTTTAATTTTATTTATTTATTTTTGGCTGTGTTGGGTCTTCGTTGTGGTGCGCGGGCTTCTCATTGCGGTGGCTTCTTCTCGCTGCGGAGCACGGGCTTTAGACGCACGGGCTTCAGTACTTGCAGCATGCAGGCTCTGTAGATGTGGCTCGCGGGCTCTAGAGCGCAGGCTCAGCAGTCGTGGCACACAGGCTTAAGTGCTCTGCAGCATGTGGGATCTTCCCGGACCAGGGATCAAACCCGTGTCCCCTGCATGGCAGGCGGATTCTTAACCACTGCGCCACCAGGGAAGTCCTAATTTTCTTTTTTAAAATACTGCATTCCAAGATTGTTACTCCAAAGTAATCTGACATTGTTGGACTTTTAGTGTTCCTTTTTGCATAATTCATATGTTTCATAGAAAGGGACCTATCTTAAAATGATGGATTTATTGTTTATCTTGTACTGGGAGAAGCGAGTTTAGGTGATAGAAATTCTGTTTTGAATTGTTGGAACGTCTTTCCTTTTATTTTTTTTTTAATTTTTATTTTTGGCTTCCTTGGGTCTTCATTGCTGTGCATGGGCTTTTTCTAGTTGCGGTGAGTGGGGGCTGCTCCTTGTTGCGGCGCATAGGTCTCTCACTGTAGTGGCTTCTCTGTTGTCAAGTATGGGCTCTAGGTGCTTGGGCTTCAGTAGTTGTGGCAGGCGGGCTTAGTTGCTCTGCAGCATGTGGGATCTTCCTGGACCAGGGATCGAACCTGTGTCCCTTACATTGGCAGGCGGATTCTTAACCACTGTGCCACTAGGGAAGTCCCTCCCTTTTTAACAAATAAAAATAATTTTCAGCTGTAAAATGAGGAGATAGTATAAGATCATCGCCTGAGATCTCTCTCAGATCTAAAAACGCAATTTATGAATTAGACTTTACTGTTATTTGGTTGTCCTTTTTACCCCTCTCCCCAGGTTAGAAGAACTGTTGCTGAGGTCATTAATTTAACAAATATTTATTGAGCACATGTTATGTGTAGGCACTTTTCTCGGCACTGGAGATACAGTGGTGAAGACTCCACTTTGAAAGTGTCTGACTTGTGCTACTTGTGAATAGAATAGAGAGACATGATATATTAGTTCTTTTACAAGATCTGTTTAATTTTTGATGGAGGCAGATGAAGTTGTCCTTTGGCATGTGTCTTTTAGGGGCAAAGTTTTGTTTCAGTATTTGGAATAAATAGAGAAGGTCACTCAGGCTCTGTGCAACCAAAAACAGGAATAAGAAAAAAAGGTCATCTGAATAAGGAAGAGATGGTCTTTCATGAAATAAATTTAGTGGTCAGTGATTCTAAGTAGCTTAAAGTGAGTTAACAATTTGGGTTTTTTAGCCTGTTTACCTACCCTAGGATATAGGAAATGTGTAATTGTCCCTGTGGTGTGGCTTTCTCAAAATGTGGACCATCTGCCACATTCTGGAGCATGTTTTGCGGTGAAACTGGGAAATCTTGGTTTTTAATAAATATCCTAGATGATTTTTACACACTCTAAAAATTTCAGAACTACTGCTTTAGTGAATCTTTAGGACAATGTGCAGAGGCACTTGGAAAGTGACTTTCACCTTTCTGAAAGGGAGAGCTATTTCAAGTTGTTTAACCATTCTGAGGATGCTTTGGAAGGTTTATACACCAAATTGCTTTTTTTTTTTTCTTGTGTGGGAATGTAAGAGGAATTTAACTTTCATTTGTATTTTTATTTTTTCTAAAGTAGTCATTTTTTTCACTAAAACTGGGGAAGAAGAAAAAAGGAAAAAATTTTAGAACTGAAATGAAACTTAACTAAGAGGTACTTAAGTGAGTACTTAAGTGCCTGGCACTGGGCAAAAGTGCTTTATCACATTTAATTCTTGTCATACTGTTAGTGTTAGGGTTGGGATTCAAATTAATAGTCTGTCTGACTCAAGAGCCAGAGAACTTAATTAATCTGTGCTTCCTTTATATTTCAGGAAGATAGAAAAATTAAATGTGTGTGTGTTTAATTCTGTTGTCCTGATAGTGTTTATGTTTTTATTTGACATATTATTAATATAGATTACTTAGCTATGTTATGGATTACATAGCCTTTGGTGAGCTTCCTGGGGAAGGTATGACCATATATTTAAAAGTTTATTTCTATGAAAATAAATGGCTAAATTTTAAACAAGTCACCATTTGTTATTGCATAACACCCTTATAAAGTTATATGTCTAGCTTAAATAAATAGAATAATACTCATTTGGTCAGTAGTAGAATTTTTGATTTTTTTTTTCTGGTTGACATATGTAGATGCTCCACGCCCTACTAGTCATGCCCGTCCTCCATCAACCAGTTTGATTTATGACTCAGACCTGGCTGTCTCTTATACTGACCTTGATAATCTTTTTAATTCTGATGAAGATGAACTGACAGTGAGTATCTTATTAATGATTACAATTATAATTTGTTTTCCTTGATTTTATATAAGTTTATTTTTCAGAAGTGATATGTGACTTGAATACTATGTTTTAGCCCTGAGCAATAGGATATATTTTGGAAGAAAATTTCTTTAATTGGTGTCCTTTTTTAACCTCATGTTTGAGCCTTTTTTGTCTTTTTTTCTGGCTGCACCGCCTGGCTTGCAGGATCCCAACCAGGTATTGAACCCAAGCCCTCGGCAGTGAAAGCACAGAGTCCTAACCACTGGACCGCCGGGGAATTCCCTGAGCGTTCTTGATATAATGTCACCTATAAACTTTGAGGGTTTTTTTTCTTTATTTTTTGTCTTTGAAGGACATGTATAATTAAGCTTAATTTGAGCTCTGCCATATGTTCTTTTTCTCCAGTCCTTAAGAAGCAGAATTATTATTATTTTTTTAATAACTAGAATTATGACATAACATTATACCAGAACATATAAGATTTTTAGAAATTTCATGTAATGTCTGAAACATTTATATTAACATACTTCCAAACAAATAAACCAAAGAAAGTTTAGTATTAGTTGTTTTTTTTGTTTTTGTTTTTGTTTTTTTTTTTTGCGGTACGCGGGCCTCTCACTGTTGTGGCCTCTCCCGTTGCGGAGCACAGGCTCCGGCCACGCAGGCTCAGCGGCCATGGCTCACTGGCCTAGCCACTCCGCGGCATGTGGGATCTTCCCGGACCGGGGCACGAACCCGTGTCCCCTGCATCGGCAGGCGGACTCTCAACCACTGCGCCACCAGGGAAGCCTGTATTAGTTGTTTTTTGTTTGTTTGTTTGTACTGCAGATTCTTATTAGTCATCAATTTTATACACATCAGTGTATACATGTCAATCCCAGTCGCCCAATTCAGCACACCACCATCTCCACCCCACCACGGTTTTCCCCCCTTGGTGTCCATGTTTCTTCTCTACATCTGTGTCTCAGTTTCTGCCCTGCAAACCGGTTCATCTGTACCATTTTTCTCGGTTCCACATACATAGGTTAATATACGATATTTCTTTTTCTCTTTCTGACTTACTTCACTCTGTATGACAGTCTCTAGATGCATCCACGTCTCAACAAATGACTCAGTTTCGAGGAAGCAGAATTATTAACCTAATCTTTGATCCTCTAGTTTTAGAAATGACCGAAAAATTGACTCAATTAGAGAATAATAAGTAATTCACATTAAAGTCATATGCCTTGTCAATTTGTTAAGGAATACTACTTCTTTTGAATTTGTTTGGCTTCACAGCCATTATTATAAGACACCTACATACTATAATAATGAAAGAGGAAGAAAAAGTAATACTTAATCTTTAACACCCATTTGCAGGGAAAGGTGAAGATAAAAGAAATTAAAGCTTAAAATGAGATTCCCTAGAATGTCAAGTCTCTGGCAAATTAATGAATTGGGTGCTGCATTATAAAAGGGAATTCCTTTTTCATCTGCATAAAGGTAGCTTGGAAACTTCTATAGTACATTTGGTCTCTTCAATTCAGTGACATAAAGCAGATATCACTATACATAAACTTTTATTCCACATCCTGTAATATAGTATATTTTAGGTGAAAAAACCCCGAATACTTTGATACTTTTGTACTTTCTCTACCATTCACGTATCAGCAGTGGCTCTTCTGAGGTCAAAGGTTGTAATCAGAGCTCAGTCTACATATCTAAGACAAGGTGGCTAACAGGAGACAAGGAACCAAGTTGTCAGCTCTGACAACACTGGTGACAGATAGAGATTGTAAAACTTGTTTTGTTCAATGTATTAAAACTACCTTGAGTTAGGGATCCTATTGCTTTGTCGTATGAGATCTTTCTGAAGTTTTGCTTAGTTTTACCTGTTGTAGCGTTTTTGCAGGGCAAGAAGATTATTAAACAAGGTAAAAGTGTAAACAAGAATTTGGAGAGGTGATTGATTATATAAGAATCTTTAATGTCTTTTATTAAAAGGGACAAATGCTTTATGAGTATCTTTTACTAAGAGTCAATTCTGATGTTAATTACAAACCCTTATAGTAGGTTTTCTTACCTTTTTTTTTTAATGGGTTTTAAGTAATAGGTTGTTCTATGTATTTTGAAAGTATTGGTCATTTTCTTGAAGGAACTTTTTCCTCTGTTATTTGGAGCATTATCAAATCAGTAGAAAAACTAATCTGGGTTATTGATTACCTAAAATGTGTTTTATATCTTTAAATTATTTTGTATCTTTAAATTGTATCTCGTATATATTTGGCTCTAGCACAAATGGGCTCTACTTTCAAGTTACATCTGAATGATTACTATCTTGATCACATTGGATTTAAATTTCAGAGCAATATGTGTTTGTGTGTGTTTTTTAATAGCCTGGATCTAAAAAATCGGCGAATGGATCAGATGATAAATCCAGCTGCAAGGAATCAAAGACAGGAAATCTGGACCCATTATCTTGCATAAGTAAGCTTCCCAAATGTGTGTTCCAGATAAATCTGCAAACTTAATCTCAACAAAGTTCTCCACCACTTTGTTTTAAGCACAGAGTAACTTCTTTTTAGTCTTATGTTAAAATGTGTGTTTTATTAAATATAGGCACTGCAGATCTTCATAAAATGTATCCTACACCACCATCATTGGAACAACATATTATGGGATTTTCCCCAATGAATATGAATAATAAAGAATATGGTAGTATGGATACAACACCTGGAGGAACTGTTCTAGAAGGAAATAGTTCTAGTATAGGAGCACAGTTCAAAATTGAGGTTGATGAAGGATTCTGTAGCCCAAAACCTTCTGAAATTAAAGTAAGTATTTTATTTTTCTAGAAAAATAATTCACTTCCTATATTTTTGTATAGAATTAGTTCATTGCTAGATTCAAAAATCCTTTCTTAGTGATTCTAATTTTGTTATTAACAAATTTGAATTATGGTGATACTATTAAGAATGCATTTAAGAAAAGAGTAGGATTACATTTACATTGTATTATTTTGTTTAAAGACAGGAAAAAAGGGCTAGAGTCAGTTTGTTGGGTTTTTTCCCTTGGAAAATAAGATGCTAAAAGCCATGGTCTTTATATTGTAGGATTTTTCTTATGTCTATAAGCCTGAAAATTGTCAAGTTCTAGTGGGATGTTCCATGTTTGCACCTCTAAAAACTCTACCAAGCCAGTGTCTGCCTACTATCAAATTGCCAGAAGAGTGTATTTACCGTCAGAGTTGGACTGTTGGAAAATTGGAATTGCTTCCTTCAGGGCCTACAATGCCATTCATCAAAGAGGGGTATGATTGAAATGTATAGTATTGGTATAGTGTATGAATGCTTATATAGCTTTAATTTTTTTCATAGAAGCACCTAGTGTGTTGGTACCTGGAAAAAAGATACTGGTTTTTGAAAGTTCTAAAAATCATTTTCTGATTAATAGCTTATAATGGTGTTTGTTCGATATGGTTAAAGTATTGGAACACTTAAGACCAATAAACTTTGTCTTTGGAAGCACCTTTTATTTTGGTCTGAAATCCTAATCACTCTCATTTGTACATTTGCCGTATTTCACACACTTTTAATATTTAAGTATCTCTGAAATTGGGGTGTCTTATGATTCGTAACATCTTAGAATTGCCATTGTCCTTTTTTTACACATAAATGTCTCTAAAATTGAGTTTGTTTTTTTTAAACAGTGGCACCTTAGAATCAATGAAATATGGGTATTTGTAGTACAAGAAATATATCGATAGTAATTGTGGATGTCTAGGTGTGGAAAAGTGTATACAAATTTTATAATGGAACTAGTTAGTTGGGTCTCACCCCACAACAATCACCTAGAGTGGATTTACTAACCAAAAATACATTTTAATTGTACTTGTAATTTTTGCACTAATCGTATTTTCATAATTTTTGTGTTATTGAAAAACGTTTGGGACATTTTTAGTTGTATTTCACATTACTAATATGTTCCTTTATGCATGTTTTTGATTCTCTTTTGCCCTGGTGACACTAGCGATGGAAGTACTATGGATCAAGAATATGGCCCTGCTTATACACCTCAAACTCATGCTTCTTTTGGGATGCCTCCTAGCAGTGCACCTCCTAGTAACAGTGGAGCAGGAATTCTTCCTTCTCCATCTACCCCTAGGTTTCCGACTCCAAGGACTCCAAGGACTCCAAGGACTCCTCGTGGAGCTGGTGGACCAGCTAGTGCTCAAGGTTCAGTCAAATATGAAAATTCAGACTTATATTCACCAGCTTCCACCCCATCCACGTGCAGACCCCTTAATTCTGTTGAACCTGCAACTGTTCCTTCCATCCCTGAAGCACACAGTCTTTATGTAAACCTCATTCTTTCAGAATCAGTTATGAATTTGTTTAAAGACTGTAACTTTGATAGTTGCTGTATCTGTGTCTGCAACATGAATATCAAGGGTGCTGATGTTGGAGTTTACATTCCAGATCCAACGCAGGAAGCACAGTATAGGTGTACCTGTGGCTTCAGTGCTGTCATGAACAGAAAATTTGGAAACAATTCAGGATTATTTCTTGAAGATGAACTAGATATCATAGGACGCAACACAGAATGTGGCAAAGAAGCAGAAAAACGTTTTGAAGCTCTCAGGGCTACTTCTGCTGAACATGTTAATGGAGGACTAAAGGAATCTGAAAAATTGCCTGATGAGTTGATATTATTGCTACAAGATCAGTGCACTAATTTATTTTCACCTTTTGGAGCTGCAGACCAAGATCCTTTTCCCAAAATTGGTGTAACTAACAACTGGGTACGTGTTGAAGAGCGGGACTGTTGCAATGACTGCTACCTTGCGTTAGAACATGGGCGTCAGTTCATGGATAACATGTCAGGAGGAAAAGTTGATGAAGCACTTGTGAAAAGTTCATGCTTACACCCCTGGTCCAAAAGAAATGGTAAGTATGCTAATGGAATAATTTTTCTCTTTATTTTCCTTTAGTTGTATGACTTTTCTTTCTTAGGAAAAGGTATTAAAGGCAGTTTCCCATGTAGCTGATAGAGACACTTAAATTTGGACTTAAAACTCCTTTAAGAATGATATTTTTAGGGCTTCCCTGGTGGCGCAGTGGTTGAGAGTCCGCCTGCCGATGCAGGGGACACGGGTTCGTGCCCCGGTCCGGGAGGATCCCACATGCCGCACAGTGGCTGGGCCCGTGAGCCATGGCCGCTGAGCCTGCGCGTCCGGAGTCTGTGTTCCGCAATGGGAGAGGCCACAGCAGTGAGAGGCCCGCGTACTGCAAAAAAAAAAAAAAGAATGGTATATTTTTTTATTTTTTGGCTATTACAGAAGTTTATTTAACAAAGAAGTTCAGTAAGAAAATGCACACAACCCAATTTTCATCGTAGTAAAATGTGGAGAGGGGACATGTGGAAGCAGTTGATTTCTCTGGTGAAGACAGCCATTGTTCATACTCATTCCAAAGCTTCTAACATGATGATACTATTTCCTCGTATTACCACCATTCCAATATTGTTCTGTTGCCCACTAGTTGCCATCTCCACACATTCATCTATCACAAGATTCATAAAGGGATCAAATCCCCTCAATATTCCTTGGACATGTCTGCCACCATTTAATTCAATGATAACTTCTTGTCCATAAATTTCTTCAACTCCGGAGGGTGAGCTTTGCTCATGATGTCTACTCGAGGAGCTCAAAGACCAAGAATGATATTTTTAAAGGGAGAATTTCCTAGCAGTTTAATTTCACCAACAAAAGTATGGTTATTAGAGGTCTGTAATAATGTACTTGTGTAGGACTATAAAAGGTACTTTGCACATGTTAATTAACAGAAAATTACTAGTTTTCTGATTATTCAACATCTGTCACTCATTATTTATTGAGCAACTAGTATGTGCCAGGCACTGTTCTTTTACAAAGTACAGTATTAAAACAAACATATTTCCTGCCCTTTCTGAGCCTGTAATTCTCAAAATAACAAAATAAACAAAAAAATAAGTAATTATATGATATCAGATAGCGACAAGTGCTTTGAAGGAAAAACAGGGTAAAGGAGTGGAAAAAGACAAGAATATGCTACTTTCAATGTATGTTTAGAGAAGATATTACTGAGGGGCAGCATTTGAGCAAAGACCTACATAGAGTGGGGGAATGTGAGCTGTGTGGCTGAGAGAAGAGTGTTTTCAGGTAGTGCAAAGACTGAGGGAGTAGTGTGCCTAATATGTTTGAGAAACAGTAAGGAGGCACTGTTGCTGGAATGAATTGAGTGATGGGGAGACGGTTAGGAGTTGGAAGGCTAAGAGATGGCCGAGCACCAAAATCATGTAGGGTCTTACGTACCATGTAAGTAAGGCCTTTATAGTTTATTCTAAGAGTTACGGGAAGCTGTAGGACAGTTTTGAGCAGAGAAGTAACATGATCCTTTTACTGTTTATTTTTTTAAAAGATCACTAGCTGTTGCACTGTGGGTGGTGAAGGTAAGAGTAGAAGCAGATAGATCAGTTAGGAGGCGGTTACAGTAGTTCAGGTGAAAGATGACAGTACCTTAGACAAGATTGGAAGCAATAGAGATGTGAGTAGTAGGTTCTAGGCACATTTGGGAAATAGAACATACAGGATTTGCTGATATAAGGAAAGATGAGGCATCAAGGATAGCTTGAGCGAATGGATGAATGATGGTGCTAATTATAGAGGAGGGGAACAACTGGGGGAGAAGGTCAAATACTTATTTGGAGAAACGAATTTTAAATTCGGAGGAGTAGTTGGGGCTAGAGATTAAAAAATGTTGTGTGTGAGTTATCAGTATTTTAAGCTATGGAGATGGATGAAAAAACTTAGAGAGTGACTCTAGGTAGAGAAGTCCAGGGATGGAACTGACATTTAGAGATGGGGGAGAAGAGGAGGATCCAGGATAGGCAACAAAGGAGGTAGGAAGAAAGCCAAGAGAGTGTGTTGTGCTGGTAGCTAAGTGTAGGAAATGTTTGAAGAAGGAGAGAAATGTCATCCATGTCAAGTACTTGTGTGTAGTTATAAAGATCTAATGAGTTAATACATATGAGCTGCTTAACACAATCCTTGGCACATAGTAAGTACTGAATTTATATAAGCTGCCATTATTAAAGTCATGATTTAGGTTTTTTTTTCAGGCATAGCCACTGGGAAACATATTTCTAAAAAGGTGTCTCAGTATACCACTCACTAACTTTTGGTAATTATGCAGAAAGTTAGCCTTCTTCAGAATGTGGTTTTTGTTAAGAATTTTTGTTCTTAGGTGATATATGCCATTTAATAACTTTGATTTGGTTCCTTATGTCATTTGCTAATCCAGCCATTTTTGGACACATGTGCAAAACAATGTGCTTGGTATTCTGGGAGATTTGAAGATATCCTACATTTAAATTGCTCATAGACTACTTGGAGAACTAAAACTGTTATACAGGGTTGAAGTAAAAATACTCTAAATGCCCATCGACAGGAGAATGGATAATAATTATGATAGTACAAATAGAATGTTACATAAGCTCTGAAAATGAGTAAAACTCTTGTAACAGATGAATCTTGGTAAAAGTTTTGAGGGGAGGGAGAGGGAACAAGTCCCAGAAGATTGTATATAGTGAGATATTTTTTCATAAAGTTCTAAAACAGGCAAAACTAAGTGTATTTTCTGGATGCACATAAAATTCAGGATGGTGGTTAATTCTTAAAAGCTGAGGGATAGGATAGGGAGAAGCACTTGATAAGATTGAGTAATATTCTACTTCTTGGGCAGTGAGATCGTAGTTGTTCATAATATTATTAAGAAAATTTGTGAATAAGATAAGGCTATGCATGGACCAGTGGTTACATTTTGTTCAAGATAATACTTTGATGATTCATCAAACTCACTATACTCAAGGATCAAATTTTTAAAGCAAAAGGTATAAATAAATGTCATAGATTTTCAAAAAAAGGGCAGGATTATTTTCAGCCATAGATAGTAGTTAAGAACATAGGCTGTGGAACCGACTACTTGGGTTTGAAACATGGCTCCATCACTATATACTATGACCTTGGGCAAGTTATTTAACCTCTGTCTCAGTTTCTTGAGATAGTGTCAGTAATAGTATTTACCTCAGTGTTAGAGGATTAAATGAACTAATACATATAAAACAGACCAGTGCCTGGCCCAAAGTACTCAAATATTACCAGTAGTAACAGTAGTAGTAATGGCAGCAGCAGTAGCATTAGTGGTATTCTGTTTATTTTTATTATTATTATTTGTTTTTAAGATCCAGCTCATCTTGAAAGTTGTCACAAGAAAAAAAAAATTTGTAACTGTGTATGATGATGGATGTTAACTGGACTTACTGTGGTGATCATTTTACAGTATACACAAATAACAAATCATCACTTCTTACACCTAAAACTAATATAATGTCATGTCAATTATACCTCAAAAAAAAAGTCCAACTTATTTGCCAAGTAATAGAAAATATTGAGTTGTTAACCTTGTGTGCATTTTTTCTATAACAGTAAAGATTGATGTAAACAGATTACTCTGCCGCCATAAAGATGAATTTCATCCTAAGAATTTATATTGAGAAAATAATTCAAAACAAAAAAGAAATATCTTTATATTTCAATTTAAAATGTCAACATTAAAATAAATAATGCTGCAAAACCCAAATGGGCAATATTGGAATACTTCCTCATTAAATTATAACAGCTTCATAAAATTGTAGCAACTCCTGTATTAGGACCTTTGCCCTGATTGTTTCCTCTGCCTGGGACACTGTTCTTCCAAGTATTTACATGGGTAACTCTCTTGTCTTTTTAAATTTTGTCAGAAGTCATCTTCTCCATCCTGCTCCTTTTTTTTTTTTCCCTGTAGTGTTTGCTTATTACCTTCTAATATACTGTATAATTTATTGATTAATTATCTCTCACTCCATTAAGTTCAGCCTATGCAAGTTCTGTTTAAGAGAAAGGGTTTTTGTCTATTTTGTTTGTTTGTTGATATGTCCAAGTACCTAGAACAGTGCCTGGCATATGGATGTCCAAGGTGTTGAAATATTTGTTTGAAGGAATTAAAAGTCTACAAACTGTAGTTTGTATTATTTAGTGGTAATGTTTATTTTTCTCAAGATAGAAAAAGCTTTGTTCCAATTATAAAAAATACATACTTGCTGAAAAGAAAGTTAAGAATCTAAACAATACAGAAAAGTAGAAGTAAAAATTGCCCCCAGTTTTTGCCCATCCCCATCATTACACCACTCCATGATCACTCATTTTTAAGCAACTTTATTGACAATACCATACAATTCATTTAAAGTGTACAATTGAATGGTTTTTAGTATTCACAGAGTTGTGTAGCCGTCACCACAATCAATTTTAGAACATTTTCATCATCCGCAAAAGGAATCCCATGTTTATTAGCAATCACTCCCCATTTTCCTCCAACCACTCCCTCCCTGCACTAGGCAACCACCAGTGTACTTTCTGTCACTATCGATTTGCCTCTTTTATACATTTCATATAAATAAAATCATATCCTATATGGTCTTTTGTGACTGACTTCTTTTTCTTAGAATAATGTTTTCAAGATTTATCCATGTTGTGGCATGTGTTAGTATTTCACTTGTTTTTATTGCCAAATACTATTCCATTTATGAGCATCCCACATTTTATTTACCCATTCGTCTGTTCATGGACATTTGGACTGTTTCCACTCTTTGGCTGGTATGAATAATGGTACTATGAACATGTGTGTACCAGTTTTTGTGTAAACATACGTTTTTATTACTCTTGGGTGGACTTGATAACTCTGTTTTACGTTTTGAGGAACTGCAAGACTATTTTCTAAAGCAGTGCACCATTTTACATTCCCATCAGCAATGTGTGAGGGTTCCACTTTTTCCATGTGCTAATTAACACTTGTTCTTGTGTGTTTTATTATTAT